GAAGCAAAAAACGAAAGAGAGAGTGAGAGAGAGAGAGAGAGAGTTTCACCAAAGATAGACGTTTAAGACTACTTCATTTACTTGCAAATTATGCGGTTCGTCCTAGCTAAAGGAACTCAATCCTTGTTTTCCAACCTCTTTTACATCATATTCTACCTTTTTGTATTGTTTTATGTTTTTTTTGTTCTTGTTTCGTTTTGTTTTCATTCTTTTTATTTATTAAAATTTTTTCTTCTTTATCATGCGTGTATGTACCTATATGTAATATATATAGATAATATGTATAAGTTACACGAATATCGGTATTACATAGATGGTATAGGTAAACCTTTTTCGAAGATGAAAGAAAGAGTTTCAGAAGCGATAAGAAAAGAGTGACTTCCGTACACTTATACATGCTTTCTCTTTTACGATCCTTTCACCGGGAGCTTTTTCTGATACCTCCTAGCTGCTTGTTCTTTGATATATCTATGCATTTATGTATGCATGCATGTATGTATGTATGTATGTACTTAAAAATAAAGGCAACTATTTGAATCCGTATAGGATGTGTATTTCTTTCTCTTTATTTACGAATGTACATATTTATGTAAATAAGCAATGAATTACAAGATAAAATATAGATTTTACAAGATACTAATTTTAAAATACATTGGAAACTCGGTTTACGAGCATAATTCGTTAAAAAAATGTACTCGTAATCCAAAACAAAATTTCATTATAAAAAATACATAAGAAAAACTTTATATAGATATTAGAAATTTGAACAACATTTTGATATATAAAGAAAAAATAGAAACGAAACTTATTGATTACAGTGAAGAAATAAAAAATAGATTTATCAAAAATTAATTGTAAAACGATGTTTAATAATTACCAACAAGAAATCTCATTTCAATTACCAACGTAATTATTATCAATCTTAAAAAATTTCGAGAATTTAGAAAAATAACAAAAAAAAATAAATAAATCAATCATATAAAATTACAACATTGAAAAATGAATCTCATTAAAAATCAATTTCTTTCTAATTAATTAGTACTGTCACTTAAATAAACTTTAAGAATGTAAAAAACAAAAACAAAATGTCTAAAGTATACCACAGAAAAAGATAGACAAATAAAATAGACAAACAGACACAACAGACAGATATAGACAGTTAGGATAGATAAATAAAGATATCTGGTAGTTAGGATGGAATAAACGAAGGGTTACTAATGAAAGAAGGGAAATACCGTTTTCCTTTTCGTTTCTTTGCTGAGAAATGTTTATTGGCACGGTAAAATCGTGTGGTAGTTAGGTTGAAGTTAGCTTGGATCATCCTTGGAAGCCTCCGGCTACTATCTCTTCCTTCTCTTTAAACCAATCCACCCCCCGCCGATCCCTGTAAGCCCCCACCCCCAAATTTCTCTTCTGTTCCTTTATATACTTTTTCTTTTTCAGGATATTTACGTTCTCGTTCGCGCGAAGATCCTCCTCTTCCTTTTCTTCCTCCTACTGGTGGTCCACGGTTAGGAAAACCTTTTGAAACGTTTTCAGGATAGTAGGGATAACCCTTACTGTGTATGTGTGTGTTTGTTAGAAAAAGAAGTAAAAAGAAACCGTTTCGTACACGTTCCAAGCAACCGGATGCATCGTTCTGTCGTCGCTATATATTCCCGAGACTCGAGGAAATTCTAAAATACGTTTTTCCATTTATTCCAAGGAAATCTATGAGAACTCTCGGTGGAGTTTCAAGGATACGTCGATACTTGAATCAGAAAGAGAAAGAAAAATAAAATAGAGAAACAGAAAGATATATATATATATATATATATGTATGTATGTATGTACATTGAACTGGTCAATAAGTATAATGTGGGAATTTGTAACAATTTAAGTTTATATAAATAACGTTAAATTTATTGTATTATTTGTTAATCATTTTTAATATTTTATATCGGAATAAACGAACACGTTATTGAATATAACGTTTATTTATATTATTATACATTTATTTAAATATATATATATAAGAAAATATATAATAAATATATATTAATTAAAAATTACATATATATTATTTATTTTATTTTAATATTATATTTAATATATATTATATTTAATTGTAATAATATATGTAATTTATTATATACTATATATTAGGGGGACCGAAAAGTAATCGAAAATTTTCTTTACTGGTGAAAAACATTATTTATTAATTAAATTTTAAATGCTAATAAAGAAAAAATTTGTTTATCATTTTCTAACACTTTTTATCTTACATAAAGGAAATTGTTTAATTTCCTTATCAAAAAGACCTTCAATTTTTCATTGACATAAACTAAATGTGAGTATACCCATCGAAGAAATTTTGTATTACTTTTCGGAACCCCTAATATATCCACATACATTAAATTAAAATTCTACACATTTTACGTATATACATTTACAGTTATACAAAATTTAAATATAAATTAGACTTGTTGGGGTTTAATCTAGGTCCTCGATAATTCTTAATCTAACCTTTAACTTCAGTATCCACGATTGTTGTCTCTCGTTATCCTAGGGGGATCACGGAGATTTTCGAAATTCTCCGTCGTCTTTTAAGGCTGTAGATACTCGAGAAAAGGGACGGTCGGCGAAAGAGAAAGAAAGAGAGGGAAAGAGAAAAGAAGAGGCTGGGGTCAGAGATAAAAAGGGGATTAAGACGAGAACCTCCAGCCCCTATTCTTCCGTGTAATTGTAAACTTGGACTCGCGCTAGCCATAAATTTCTTGTGCTCTGGGCTTACTTTTCAAATTTATTATTCGCGCGTACTACCCTCCCTCTCTCTCACTCTCTCTCTCTTTTACTCTTTCTTTCTTTTTCTTTCTCTACATTTTACCACCAAGCTCAACCCCCTATTGTCCGTGAAAAGAGCAGATCTTTGTTGGTAGTTGAAGTACCGAATAATTCTTAAATTTCTTCTCTGTCTGTCTTGCTCTTTTTAATTTTCTCTTTCTGTTTCCTGTTTTTCATTCTCTTTATAACAAATTTTATTTATTAATTTTTACCTTCTTCTTGTTAATTCCTTTTGTTTTTGTTTTTTTTTGTTTGTTTTATGGATGTTGAGATATAAACCATGGGAATAGGTTGAATAATTTTGAGTCTAACATAAGTAGAAATAATTTTTTTTTAATTAGTTTATTAAAATTTATTTTTAATTATGTATTTATTTTTTATTAGTATTAGATTAAAATTTAAATTAATTTTTTTTTAAACTCACATATTCATTTTCCGGCAAAATTTTATAATTTTTAAAATAAGAATAGACTCAAAACTTTTCAACTCATTCTCTTATATATCGAACAATTTAAAATACAATATGTATTCTTTTTTTAATTATTTTTGAAAATTTTTATAAAATATACTTTGAATATTTTGAATATTTTAATACAATGAAAGAAAGAAAAAAGTTGAAGAAAACAAAACACCAGGGTTACAGGATTTTCAATCTTTTTCTTTTTTTTTCTTTTTTTTTTTATTATACCAAGGGATGATCTCGTTTATTACGAAAACGAGCGAATTCGTTACACTTCACTTTCGCTACTTGTTTCTTTTATCGCACTTTCACCTAACGCATACCTGTGAAACAAGATTAGCAAGAAGAGCATCATTTCTTTTCCCATCCCTTTCTCTTTCTTTCCCTCTGTCTTTCATTTTATTATTTTCTTTTTCAACGTTTCACCCTCGTTTTACCCTCGTTTCATTCACATTTCAAGGAAAAAAAGGGAAACTAGACACTCTTTTTTGTTATCTCACTCATAAGAAATCACTCTTATAATATTGAAAAATCATAGAAGAAAATTGTCTCATTTATCTTGAAAAAAAGTATGTTAAGATTTTCTTCGAATATATATTTTCTCAATCGTAATATCGATAAATTATAAATCTCAAAGGTCTTTATATTTTTCCTACATGTATTATACGTAATAAATCTTGAAGGTTGTATATGCTTTGGACTGGATCAATAAATTGTTTGAAAATTTGTATTATAAAAAGAAAAAAATCGTTTTTTAGTGAGATATGAAAAGATATAAGAAATTTTTCAAGAAAAAAAAAAATAATTCTAATACCAAAATATTAAATTTAATCCTTATTGTGATCGTCAGGTTTTTATATTGATAATTTTCACTAACATAAGTTGTAAGTAGTTTCAATAGATATTAYTCAACACACAAACAAACAAAATTATTTAGTAGAAATTATTTATACTTTTTTGTAAGGAATACTACAAATATATGAATTATTTGTAATAAATTTTAATTATTAATAACATATTTTTATTATTTCTAAGTCACTTTCTACGTGATTTACGACCGATATATATATATAAATACCTATCTACATATAAATATACATTAAGGTGAGTCAAAAAAATCAATTATTTTTTTTTTACAAGTACCACGGAAAAAAGGATTGCTAGACACATTAACAAAATTTTCACCAAATATGAGCTCTTAATTTTAATAGGAAGATCCTCCGCATCGCAGTTTTTTATTTTTTTCTCAGTCCAATAGAATAAAATTCATAACTCATCATTAATTAATTGTAAAGAAAATTGTTATAAAAGAATTTCGTAGGAAATTCGATACTCTACAAAAAAGATCTCTTATATCATTTCCGTAAACCTTACCATTTGAATGACATTAAAGATTTAAGTTTGATTATATTCAGACAAATTTCATTTTAGTTTATGAGTTTTATAACTCGACAATACATGACTATTAAAAAATGCGCAATGCAAATTTTTGTAGGAAATTAACTGCTCTATAAAAATGGTGTCATATGTTTGGACGATTAAATTAGGCGTTCAAAAGATATTTATCATCAAACTTTCATGTGTACTGATTTCTGTCTCTGAATATCTAGAAATTTTAATGTATTTGTATTATTAAAATGTCTTGAGACTTTATAAATAAGYTRAAAGAAACAATACTGTTAAAATGTGATTTTAAATAAAAATCAAACGAGAATACTTAAGCCATTAACAGAACTAATCAAACATAACATACATATAATTTTATATAATAATTAAATGGAAGGTATTTTTTCTTATGAATAAAAGGTACTAAATAACATTTATATAAGTTAATAGAAAATTTATTGTTTATTTACAATTTTAGGTACACCATTTATAAATTTAATAGTCTTATTAAATACACCATTTTCCTTTAACAATTCAAGTTCAATCTGCAATAATTTCAAATGATCTCGTTGTGCTTTGGTACGGTCCTGTCTAAATTGTACAGGACCAAGATATTTACATTTATTTTTTAAAATAGACATAACTTCATTTTTTGAAGCAAGAATGACACGTACAGGTCGAATTTTGCCAGAACACTCTCTACCTATTCTAGTAGGGCTTGAAATTATATGAACAGTTGGATCAATYTCATGAAGAATATTCTTAATTAAGAACTCCTCATAGAAATTCCGGATAAGCGATGAACATGAATAATTTTCCTCCAGATTAAAGAGTATAATATTTGACGATCTTTTCTCTCTTTCCTCTATTTCATTAWWGATTTCTTCCATATCAACAAATTTTGTCAAACGTTGCTTTAAATCATCTTGCATTCTGTTCTTGATAGTAGAAATACGATTCATGATAATATTATAGTCAATTTCAAGTTTTTCAACGTCACTCTTTAAGCTT